TAGGAGGGTGAAATTGTATCGTTGCTGCAAACGGTGAATATTGGCGCACGAGAATTGGATCAGTTGAGAGATGCGGCTACATATATGGCAACAGCCGTCACGTCACAAATTGTGCCTCCCATAGCTTTGGCCCACTTTATCCTGGATCGATTGAGTTATGCCTATAATGTGTGCGAACTCGATCAGAATGGGTATGAAATTTCGGTTTTGCTTGCATATTGGAAGATTTGAAAGTCGCTAGAATGAACTGCTGATTCAGGCAACCGAGCAGCCGCATGTTACCAAATCGTCTTGGTGCCCGCCGTCCGCAGGACGATGACCTCGCGCTGAAGGCTGCTCTTGATGCAGTTGGTGCGAGGCCACTGTTTTCCGACGATGATTATCCGCTCTTAAGTGAAGCTGTTCGAAGACAGAAGGGAGAATTGGCGATCGCATTGTTGACACGGTCAGTAGATAATACGAGATTCTTTTTTAGTCTTTCAATTTTTAAGGATTTTTTGCCCTCAACTTGGAATGAGATCGCACGGAATTGCTTGATTTGTCTGAATATTTCATTGTAGGCACAGAGATTCTACCGAGAAGCTTGGTCTAATTTTGGATAGGCTTTTGGATCCATCAATTCATAAGATGTACTCGTGAGTTTTATTTGTGGTTTTCTTTCTTCGTTGTATAGTATAAGTAGGACTATCTTATATTGTTCTATATGCTTACAACGGACTGTTTTGATAGTAATTTGGAATTAAAGCAGTTGCCACCTTTTTTCCGACTACGTGTTTAAACATTTTATCCAACGAATTTACAGATGGCACCAGTCAAATGCAGCATATTTTCTGGACAGAGATCCAGGGTATCTTAAACTTGGCCAGCGAGGTCAACGTCCAACTTTTCCGATACCTTCGCACTCCCCACCAGTGCTGAGGTAAGTCGCGAATAGTTTGAAATGAGAATAACATATAATAAGTGTTAGATATTCCAGATCTGTCTCTCTGCAGTCAGCTGACTCGAAAAGCAGTACATTCGACGAAGAGGTGGAGTATATATCAGAGCAAATGCATTCACTTGCCACAAGGTAATCCAGACCACTGGTTACGATGTTTTGGTTTGCCTAAAAATGACTAAGCCTTTCACCGGTTTTCCCCCTCAATTTGACCAATTACAGCTCGAGACGATCTTCCGATGAAGGTAATGAAAGTATTCGCAGTACTCCTACATCGGCATCTGTTGTCACTGAAACCAGTGAGCCACCATCGTCATCGAAACCGAGTGGTAGTAAAGCAAAGTCAGAATTAACAAATCTCTTTTTGTTTCGAAATTAAAGTTTTGAGGTTAAACTCTCTGTTTAGACAACGAGTGGTGCCGGCGCCGTGTACAACGGAAGCCCATGCTCATTACATGCATGAGTTAGCAAAGAGGGTCCTGACAGAAGCAGGAGGGAGTCAGAGCTCGGTTGTCTTTGCTCCCATCGGGCAGAGTCCGCTAGGTTTGTTGATTTCATTTGAATGAGTTGTCTGATTTGTTTCCCTGAACTGTTTTGAAAACCACGGTTCTATATCATGGGTTCTTCCATAATCCTTCATATATGAATGATGAACAATTCTTTTTCAGAATTCATTTTGATACTTCGCCTTTTTCAGCATCTAATCGGAAACTGCATATGTGCGCGTTTCTCATTGGAATGTACGCCATAGGTTTGCATAACCAGGTGTGCACGAGCTGGAGATCGAGAACTTACAGCACACATGTTTCATGGATTAATTTGCAAGCTTCTGAACTGGGTAAGGGCTGTTGAACAAGGAAAACTTGGTCGGCATCACTGTATGGTTTCTTTGCTAGGGCTTATGGCAATTGAAGTGGTTCGTGAAACATGGCCGACTCACTTGACTCCTTCCGAAGCAGCGGGACTCGCTGATAAGGTTGGTGCCAATCAGTTTACGTTGACTTTGTGACAGATCTTTCAGATTCAATGGAGATTTAGTGGGTCTTTTATATTGAGACCTTAAGAAATCATATTTCCCATTGCTTCACTCTTCGGAGGAAGGGGTATTGAGGTCGCTGTTAAAATGTTTGCTTCTCATTAACAGTTATAAGTTCCAAGTAACTATCGTTTTGAATCTTTTTTTGTTTACACTGTGTATTTTGTTGCAATGGGAAGATTTTTGTATGCTACTTTTACAGTCATTTTGTATTTCCTTCTTGTTACTGACCTAAGTACACCTTTAGTAAGAGGACTCAAAAACCTTATCAAGCATCACTCCCTTTTACCGTTGTTTTTTCCAGGCTGGTCAGTCGCGTGACCCTGCTGTGGTCGAAGAAGCTGCCCGACTTGCGCTGTCAGTGCTGCCGTACGCCTACACGCTAAGCGCGGCTGAAACACAACGTGCTCTTTTGCAGTGTCGTGAGCAAGGAGCCGCGCTTCTGGAAAGTGCGTGCCGTGCGATTGAAGAGGTGCGTGTTATACTGGATCACTCTGGTTAGATTGTTTGTCAAAAGTTCTCAAATTTCTTTCTACGCTGTTGTTTTACTTCAAAAATTTCAAGGCTGCTAATCAAGAAATTGTATTTGCTGATGTCCTATTTCGCGTGGCGCGATACTGGCACGATTTACACTATGAACTAGATCATCCCACTGTACATCAGCAACAACATCAAAATCAACCCGGATCTCAAGCTGTACAATTTAACTCCAATAACCAACATCAACAGTATTTTAACATTGTGAGTTACTATTTATTCTGCTCTTAGATTTAAAAATCGGTAGGAAAATGCAATTTAGCCTTCTACTCACGCTCAACAACATCAATATTACTATCAGCATATTCACCCATCGCAATCAATTGCTTTTATGCAAGCTCATCCACCGCCGGTACCAGTGAGGTAGCGTTTCGTTTTAGCTTCAACCTTCTTCTTTGCCTTGTACTCATCTTCATATTTATTCATTTAAGCCAGGCAGGCAATGGTAATAATCTATCTGTATCTGTGGCGAATGAGATGGGACGATTGCATCAAAGCCAGTCAGCACCTCAGTTGTCGGGCTCGCGGCTTGGCGCTCAAATGGGATCAGAAACGCGGCCTCGTCTCGTAAATGCCCATCGTGTTGGCATACGGGCATTGGCGACAATCGCCGCGAGTGCTAACGATGAGACCCGACAGTATAGTAAATACTCTCAAGTAAGATATCAAATAGCTTTTGCTACTGCCAAATAGGATCTATCATCTCTCTTAAGACACCACCGTTTGCCGAGGATATTCGATGGTTGTTCACAATATCAGTACAGTTAGGAACTCCATATTTTGTTAGCTTCCTCGATGCTGTTGCAAAAGCTGTATCTTCACCATTCTTGCTTTTCCAATTTGCTATGGAAGCAAACACGTTAGTTCTTTCCCCTTTATGATATATATGTATTACAACAAATCGAGTCCCAAAACAATTTTATATTTTTTCCATGTGAGAGGGAAAGTTTTCAATACGGTGTTTTTTTCAGCCGTCTTCCACCTTATCCTCAGCAGTACTCTATGCCACCTATCAACCGCTCGATGCCGCCTCCTCAGCCAAGTCATTCGAGCAAAGCCTTTGCTCATGTCGCCGGAAGGGTTTGTTGACTTTCCTCGATTTTTTTTCCGTTGTACAAGCGCTTCAGTT